ACACACACACACACACACACACACACACACACACACACACACAGTGAATCCGCTCCTTTCGCTCTACTGCATGAATGTAAGTGTACACTAACCTGCATTTACTCTGACTTCTCTCCTACCACCAAGGACACAGAGTTAGGAAGTTGCTTGTAGACAGGTGAATTCCTGTCAAAGTGACATTAAATGATCCTGGATACATACATGCACATAAGTTAGCCTAGCTAGCATCACATTAATACACAATGAACACATTTTTTAACCCCAAACCATCTTCTGTCAGTTATTATGTTTTTTCCTCATTCTTGAATCATATAATATTTTACTTTGGTCTATTACACAGTATGATCCCTTTGGTAACAGAAATAGCAGTTAGCCTAAAATCACACATCTTCAATCCAATCTCTAATCTTCATTTCATCTCCCACTCTGAGATTCTGTAATAACTAATTACAATCATTTCAAATTATGAGAACATCTGTGATTTCAGAAAGTGAGTGTTTCATAAATACTAAAATTTTAAGGGTAAAACTAGAGAAAATGAATTTTAATGTTTATATTTATTATTGTATATGTGTGTATGCATGTGGGCATGAGCATACAGCACATGTATGGAAATCAAATGACAACTTTTGGGAGCCAGTTCTCTTCTTTATGTGGATTCTGGGGACTAAACTCAGGCGTTAGGCTTGCAAGCACTTTTACCCACTGATTCATCTCACTGGCTCAAAAAATACAACACTGTCTCATTTACCTGGTATCTAATTAGAATTAGTACAAATATTTTAAAATAAGTTAAAATTGTTTTGAATATTTCAAGTGTCTAAAATTCAGGTTTCGAATTCAGTTGTTTAAAATATATTTGCTTGTTAACTTTATTAGAAATAAGTAACCTAGAAGAGACATTACTTGGCTTAATCTCTTTTAAAGGTAATATCATTGAAGTCCATACTGTAAAGGCATTTGTGGAGCCTGGGAAGGTGGCTCACCTAGTAAGAGTGTTTGCTGTGTAAGCATGAGGACCTAAGCACTCATATTTAAAAAAACAAAAAAGGTGGAGTGCCTGTAACCCTAATGCCGTGGAGGACAGAGACAGGAGAATGGCTAGGGCCAGCTTACCACCAGCCTAGCTCCAGGCTCAGTGAGGCCCTGTCTCAAGAGAATAAGGGAGCTAGACAGATGGCTCAGCAGTTAAAAGCACTTACTACTCTGTCAGAGGACCAGAGCTCAGATCCAGCATCCACACTGGTCAGCTCACAAACACCTGGAACTCCAGCTCTAAGGGATACAATGCTCCTTTCTGACCTTCACGTTCATATGGACACATGTACACATAACCACAGATACAGACATAAAATAAATATTTTAAAAATAAAGGAGTCATAAGGCAGAGTGATAAAGCAGATTACCTGACATCCTTTTGCACATGCACACATGTACGCACACACAGAGAAAAAAAGCATTTGTGGGTTTTTCAGACACAAAGGCATTGTAAATTAGCTTTAAGTACTCTCCCACAAATGTATTAAATTTTAGTCTAAAATACAGACATCATCAGAGTGATCTTGGCATTTAGAAGAAACAATGTGGGGAAAGCAAGCAATTTAATAGCTACTCAAGCTATTCTACAGAGAACTAAGCTATGCTGTTTTTAAAAAGAAACACTGTCATTAAAAAAAAAAAAAAAAAAGAAAGAAAGAAAGAAACACTGTGCTTTAGTCTCCAGCAGTGAACAGAATCACAGTGTAGGTGGGGCTCTTGTTTGAATCCTAAACCTTCCCTTGCCAGCTAAATACTGTTGAACAGGATGTGTACTCCTCCCCTCCTACACTTTGACTTTCTGGTGAGTAAAAATGGGAATGAAATCTACCTTGCACTACAGTTGTCATGATTAAGTTACTTCTGGGATAGTGCCAAGCCCCATGCCTGGTACACAGAGACCTACAAATGTTACCAGGTTCTATTATTATCTGAAATGTCAAACAGGATTAAAAAATGATGTGAAATCCAAATACTTCAATAAAGTGGTTTAACAAAATACCAAGAACAGAAAGACAATACCAACTGAAGATTGCTGAGCAAGAAGAACAAGAAAACAATTATACTAACACATGAGAACTCAACAATTAATGGAATTTGCATTTTTAGTATGTGAAAAGTATCATTAACAATGTGGGCTTTTTATCCCAGTCCTTGGGAGGCAGAGGCAGGATCTCTGACATTGAGGCCAGCCTGGTCCACACAGTGACTTCCAGGAGGGCTGGGACTAGGAGATCCTATGGAAAGACAAACAACAACAACAAAAAAGTAGTATCATTAAGACACTTTTATAGCCACAAAGTGAAAGCATCATTCAACTATAGATATCTAGTCTCTTTTATCACTTGCCACTACTAAAATCATTTAAGGCTCCTATTAAGTTGAAAATCAGTTTTCATTGACAATGCTTTTCAATGGGGCTTTAGAGTGAATGAAGAACCAACTTGAAAAATACAAATACGCTTTAAATATCTCATTAGAGAACTCACAGTCATGCTTGGCCCCAGGAACATTATACACAATCAGATTTCAGTTCAATGTAGAGAAAACAATTAAAACATGTAACAGGTTTTGTTGGGTTCTGTGTATTCATGCATGTGTGCTTTTAAAGAAAGTAACTGCTTAAGCAGCTGCTCCTGTTTCTCTGACTAGTCTATAAATAAAATATAATCTAGAAAAATTTGCTTTACCATAAACATCAAATGTTTATTGGGCTACAAGGAACAAAGAACCAAAATTTCTAATAACATTTTAGATAATAAAGTATATAAAATACTATCTTCTCATGAAATTTTGCTCTAGCAAAATCTCCATTTTTAGGAAATGCCATTATCCCCTTATCTGATTTATTGATTCTCTGGCAGATTCCATCAGTATTATGAGCCACATTGAGGTTCCATTCTGTGTAGTTTGAATTGTTGGCAAATAACAATAACAACACAAAAACCTTATTTGCTGAAAATGAAAAGTGAAAGAAAAAAAAATGGGACCTCATCATTTCTCTAGTTTATTAGTAAACAACTGAGAGGGAGATGAATATATAAATAAAAGATTTTGAGAAGTATCAGTTCTATTCTTCCCCCATCAGTAGGCATCACAACTTAAAAGGATCACGGTGAATAAGTCAGCCATTAACTTTGAATACTCTAAAAACAACCCAACAATAAAGAAAATTAAACAGCCAGTGTATTCTAGCTGAATGAAAATTTTTAATGATGTCATATATTTAAACTAGCTAACTAGAAAAACTTTCTTAAAAGTCCATACTTCAGGGCTAAGAAGATGGCTCTGTACACAGTGCTTGCCTCCAACATGCAAGCATAGGAGTTTGGATGTCCAGAACTCAGGTAGAGCTGGACACAGTAGCACATGTACCTGTCATCCCAGAGTCCCTGTGGGGAGGCAGGCAGTAGACAGGTGCATCCCCAGAAGCTCCAGAACTGTTAGCCTAGCACACAGTGTTGATGGGGCCCCATCTCAAGGTGGAAAGTGAAGACCAACACCTGAAGTTGTCCCCTGACCTCCAGTGTGCAATAGCATGCACGCCTGTACTTACACACAAAGATTATAAAAAGCAGTAATTCAGCCAGGAACACTGGCATTTACCCGTAATCCCAGTACATGGGAAGTGGCTGGAGGATCTGGTGTTCGAGGCCATCCTCAGCTACCTAGTGAGTTCCAGGCCAATCTGGGCTACAGAGTGAAACCCTGTCTCAAAACTGCACCCCCCCCCCCCAGGCAGTAAGTCAAGGGAAGACTTTACAATAAATTTTAAAATATGCTATAAATGTGAATCTAGTAAACTCATTGTAAACAAGCACCAAGGAAGAGAAATGAGTAGCTAAAAGCCTGAATCATCTAAAAATTGACAATTGAACTGTAAATAATGAACATGTCTTCTTAGTCAACTTAAACACATGCTTTAAATAGCACATCTACTCTCCACAATTCAGTTTCTACTTCTGTAGTCTTTCAGACAAGTCTTACATATATGCAAGATCAAATGTTTATACTCTAAAATAGCCGGTGTATATACAAACTGACATTATCAACTCATTAAAACATGCCCTACTGTGCTTTACTTTTTAATACTTTAGATATAACTGCATTAACTGAAAGCAATGAATCTAGGAGTCTGAAACAATTCATGTGCGTTTTTCAATAATTTTGCCCTCCAATTTAGAAATCACTGACACTTCTGTTGAATGAAATTAAGTATGGATGATTTCAATGATTCTGACTTGACCACTGGCCTAGGAAACAATTTTGTTTCAGGAGCAACTCTTCTCTAAGGATACTGGTGTTACCATATTCTCCAAACTTCAGGAATTTCTACATAACAAATAATCAAAACAGGGATGGTAACCCTCCAGAATTATTAAATGAGAAAGACCAACTCAACTGTCTGGAAGATAGAATATTTAACTGAAAGCACAAAAGTAGACCTAAAAGTAGGCAATCAGCATAAAATTCAGATCCTATAAGCAAGGTGTGTATGAAAGACTTAATCCAATTATTCATTACCTAGGAATTTACCCTACAAACTGGGCAAATAGGCAAAGATACATGTTTTAGTATGATAATAACAAAAGTAATGACAAGATATTAATAGTGAAAACTAGAAACAATCTCAATGTTCCTTAAAAACTGGTTATTTTATGCAAATAGAATATTCCAAATATGTAATTCTTCACTGGCATATAATAACTATAATATAAAGTTGGAAGGAAAGCAAATTAAAAATAACATGTACATTATGAATAGTTGCACACACAAAGAGCTTCAAACATTACCACTAAAATATGAATGGTGGTTTCATTGGAGTAGATGAAAAAAACCCTAATTTTAACTTTTTAATAATTATTAATATTGCTTAAAAGTAGTTGAATAAGATGGTTTGGGATGTTCTGTGTGATATATACACACACAAAAAAAATCAAATTAAAAAAATATATTTGAGGAGGAAGCATGGAAATTTATGTCATGTTAATTAGTAGAGGTGATAAACATTACCATTGAAATCTACCCGATGACTTTATAGACATACACAGGCACCAAGGATCCAAGTGCAACCAATATTTTGAGACAGGGTCTCCCTGTAGCCCCAGCTGTCCTAGAACTCACTATGTAGACCAGGCTGGCCTTGAACTCACAGAGATCCACCTGCCTCTGCCTCCTGAGTGCTGGGATTAAAGGCATGCACTACCACGCCCGGCCCAAAATGAAGATCATTTTTAAAGGTTAAAAATTCATTCAATTTTATGTCTTACAGGGCTTATACTGAGGTTCAATACTGTATAACTGTATTAATTCAACTGTGAACCTAGAAACTTACAGCCACTTGTGAAAGAGATGTACTCTTGAAAAATTTTAAGTAAAAAAATTTTAAGTCAATATATTTTCTCTTTGAGATCAGAAAAATATTATCTTTATGTTGGAAAAAGAGTACATTTATTTTTAATACCATAATTCTAATTGGAGGAAATTATCTTAGGAAAATAACTAGAAAATTTCATGATGCTATAGATTTGAAGATGTTTATCAAAGCAATATTTATTATAGTAAAATATTACAATAAACTAAATGCTCAATAGTGAATTTATTAAATTATAAAGTATATAATAGCACAGTACAAAGCCATTAAAAATTAAAGCAATCAAGCATGACATATTTGAGACAAGAAAGAAAAGGTTATGGTTTCACAGTGATATATTTGTATGTTAAGTGACAAGGGTTGGAGTGTGCTGCTTAGCCTTAATTATCAACTAAATTCAGCTTTGAATCATCTGAGAAGCCTCAACTGAGGGATGGCTCAGATCCCGCTGGCCTGTGGGCAAGTCTACGGTGGACTGTCTTGATTATTAATTAATACAGTAGGGCCCAGTCCTCTGTGAGTGGCACTGTTCCATAGGCAGGTGGTCCTGGGCTATTAAGAAAGCTAGCTAAGCATGAAGCTGGGAGTGAGCACGCCAGCAAGCAGCATTCCTTTATGGTTTTGGCTTCAAATCCCTGCCTTGAATTTCTGCCTTGATTTCCTTCAGTGATGGACTATATATAACACGAACGTGTAAGCTAAATAAATCCTTTCCTCCCCTAAGTTGCTTTTGGTCAGAGTGTTTTATCATAGAAACATAAAGGGAACTAGAACATGGTAGTACACGGCTGTAATCCCAATACCTGGGAGATGGAGGCAACAGTTCAAGACCATCTTTTACTACATGGTGAGTTCAAGGCCGGCCTGAACTACAGAGACTGTCCAAAAAATCCAAAAAAAAAATTTTAAAAGCTAAGATAATGATGCTGGGGGTGGTGGCTCATATCTATAATCCTAATAACCATGAGGCAGGAGCAGAAGAATCACAAGTTTGAGGCCAGCCTAAGCTACATAGTGAGACCTTGTCTCAAAACACCAAGGGATGGGGATACAGCTCAGTGATAGAGCACTTTCAAGCTTCCTCTCATGTCATATATCTTTATTTTAAAAATCACTTTGGGGGCTGGTGAGAGAGCTCAGTGGGAAAAGGCTCCTGCCTCCAAACCTGATGCCCTGAGTTTGATCTCCAGATCTCACATGGTGAAAAGAGAGAACTGGCTCCTCCAAGTTGTCCTTTCATGTGCTATAGCACGCACACACAGAGTAAAAATAAAGCTTTTTTAAAAAAGAAAAATCACTACATGCTTTTTAAAATTTATTTATTTATTTTTGTTTTTTTTTTTGAGACAGGGTCTCCCTGTAGCCCCAGTTGGCCTGGAACTCACTATGTAGACCAGGCTGGCCTCAAACTCACAGAGATCTGCCTGCCTCTGCCTCTGCCTCCCAAGTGTTGGGATTAAGGTATGTGCCACCACACCTGGCCCCATGCTTTTAAATATATTTCAAGATCAACACTGAATTTTGGCATCTATCAAGTTAAGAAAATATGATCTAAGATCAGAAGTATAATAATTAAAAAAAAAACACAACAAAATGAGTTTTCAAAAGCTTAAGAATAGGGGTTGAAGAATGCTTGTATCCAAACATGAGGACCTGAGTTTGGATCCCCAGCACTCATATTAAAAGCCAGGCATGGCAACTCACACTTGTCATCTCAGCACTGGAAGCTGAAGACAGGAAGATCCCAGTGGTTCAATAGTCAGCCAGTCTGGCCAATCGGTGAGCTCCAGGTCAATGAGAAACCATGTCTCAAAATGTAAGGTGGAGAGCCACAGGAAGACGCCCAACATCCACCTCTGGTCTCCACACATGCATGGGCACACCCATCTGCACACAAATAAACACACACACACACACACACACACACACACACACACACTCGTTCATTTATACAAAAGAAACAGCAGTGCCGGGACATGGATCCAGGTCAACACAGATGCCTACGACCTGGCCCTAATAAGCAGCCACCTAGTTTGCACTGACAGAAAGGGATTGGGATCCTACTTAATTGAATAACAAAATAACTTGCATACATATATCAGTTTGCTTCATCAGCATTCCTATTGTGCCAACATGAATTTTGTTATGTTAAGTCTTTGAAACCAACCTGCCATGGTCTTTCCCAATCCAGTGGAATAGGAAATGCTCCAAGCCATGCTCCTACAAAACTAGAAATTGTAGTGATCTGAAGACTATTCTCCCAGATGGATGTAACTCTGTAAAATACAAGTCATTGGTAACTGTTATCACACCAGCTTAAAAAGAAAAAGAAAAAGAAAAAAACAGTAGCACAAATTAACACTACACATATATTTTTTATTCATTTAAAATGATCAACTCAAATTGACATTTAGAAACATGAACAATTAACAATAGTAAAGTATATTTTTACAGAAAGGTATTACATGTACATTTTAAGAGACAATACAAAAGAGCACTTGTAGTAACAACACTAAGTCCTCTTCCCACTCCACAACTCCTGGGTCCTTTCTTCATAGACAATTGTCATTTACAAAGTATTATATACCTCTCAAGAAATAGTTTATACAGGTACACATATGCACAGAATTTTATTTTAAGTCTATGCATATCTTTACACATGAAATGTATATAGTCCACTGTATGGATAGAGAATGATTTTCTCACTAGACTTCCTTATGCCTTATTTCATGTAACGAAATCAACTTTTTCGGCAAATAAGGGATAGGGAACAAGAACTTCAAAGAATTCAGTGATAGTGGACATGGTAACACACACCTATAATCCCAGCACTTGTTACAGAGAAGGGTTGGAGTTGGGCTGGGTGCTGAAGCAGAAAGGTGACTTTGAAGTCAGCATGGGCTATCTACCAAGATTCTGCTTTAAATAAAAAAGACCCAGTGATTTTGCCTACCATCCCTATTTATATCTTAAAAGTGTAGAAGTGAAGGGACATAACTCTCACCACTCTCTTAGGGTCTTGACTTCAGCTTCATAATGTGAACATTAACATCATGTGGAGCATGTGTCTAGTTACAGTAAAGGTCCAAGACAATGCAATAACTGGGATCAATTTTTCAAATGCTAAAAATGTATAGTAGAGTTAATGTGAAGTTAATAAAAAGCAGGATCTTCTAGCTAGTATAGGGAAAAGGAACAATTATTTGGTCAGATGATTTTTTTTCCATTAGAAATTTTCCAGTTATTGTACACAAAATCTATACTGAATTATAGACATCTCAAATCAAAGTTCATAAATCAATCCCTCTGTCACCTGTCCATCTCATATCCCCACATCTATAAAAGCTTTGTTTCTGTTAAAACTTGGCACTGAAAGGAGTAGGATCCAATCACCATATATGAAAATTTGAATTATCTGCTGGGCTTTACTGGATTTTTTTAAAAAATACAGTATCTGTAAATGCTAGTCAATTTCTTCAACTAGCAGCCAGCAGAATGGAGAACTTCTTCAATTTTGGAGAGAGAAAAAACTAGCTGAGTTAAATGTAAAAAGAAAATTGCACTTGGTGGGTAATTTAAAGATTCTCAGAGATAACTTGATTAGGTTGTAGCTGACAAATGTTAACTAGCCTCCGTTTAACACACAACTCATCTATGTTGTAACACAGAGAGTGATGTGCCTACAGATGTGAAACATGGGAGAGGTTGAGAGGCGACTTTATGCTGCAAAGAGTTTACTTTTCTGTTTTATAAAAGAGGAAGACAGTTATGTGGATTTGAAAAAGTAAGTAGTGTTAGACCTTGAACTGGAGAAAATGCACTACAGGTTAAGAGAAATATGAAACACTGGTTGATGCCAAGAGGAAGAATGGGAAATAAGGCTGGAAAAGCAGGCTAGAGTCAAACCTTTTTAAAAATAACTTCAAGCCAGGTATGGTAGCTCACATCTATAATCCAGCACACAGAAGGCTGAGACAGGAGAAATGCTGCAAGTGCCAACCTGAGCTACATAGTGAGTTCCAGTCCAACCTGGGATACAGAATTTTAAAAAGTAAACTAACAGCTTCATTGAGTGCAATAAAAAAAAAAAAAATTTACCCTAGGAATTACTTTTCCAGCCACGCAATTCACTTATCTAAAGCATAATGGGTTTTAGTATATTCAGTTGTGTGACCATCACCAATTTTAGAGTATTTTAATCACTAAAAAGGAAATCCTTCATCCATCAACAGTCACTCTCCATTTTTCCTTCCCCATAAACCCTAAGCAACTACTAAGCTACTTTCTGTCTACGGATTTGCTTAATCTGAGTATTTAATGAAAGTGAAACTGCATGACATGATTTTTGGGGGGGGGGGGTTCTTTTTGAGACAGGGTCTCCCTGTAGCCCCAGCTGTCCTGGAACTCACTAACTCACTATGTAGACCAGGCTGGCCTTGAACTCAGAGAGATTAGCCTGCCTCTGCCTCCTGAATGCTGGGATTAAAGGCATGCACCACCATGCCCGGCGTGACATGATTTTTTAAACTAATTTCTTTGACTTAGAATACTGTTTTCAGGGCTGGAGAGATGGCTCAGTGGTTAAGAGCACTGACTGCTCTTGCAGAGGACCTGGGTTCGATTCCCAGCACCCACATGGCAGCTATGAACCGTCCTTAACTCCAGTTCCAGGGGAATCTGAAGCCCTCTTCTGACCTCCGTGGCATTGCACGACATGGGTGCACTCACATACATGTAGGCAATACTCTCATACACATTGAAAAAAAAATAAAAATAATAAAATATTTTTAAAAAAGAATACTGTTTTCAAAATCCACCTATGGTGTAATGTATCAACACTTCATTCATTTGACAGTGAATCATGTTTCCTTGTATGGATGCTCTATATTTTATTTATCTTTTCAACAGTTGATGAGCATTTGGGTTGTTTCTGCCTTTTGGTAATTAGAAATAATGCTACTAGGAACATTTTTTGTGTAAGTCTCTGTATAGACATCTGTTTTCATTTCTCTTGGGATTATACCTAGAGTGAAATAGCTAGGTCACCTGCTGTTTAATCACTTGAGGAACTCGCAGATAGTTTCCCATAGCAGTTGAAACACTTGACTTTCCCACCAGAAGTGTATGAAGGCTCCAATTTTTCCATATTCCCCTAATATCTGTCATCTGTTTGGATTACAGTCCTCCTAACAGGTGTGAAATGGTATATCAATGCAATAGACTTACAGTTAAGCTATAAGAAATGCTTTAAATGTCATGCTAAAGAAACTACTGAAGGTTTTTAATCAAGATAATGACATGATCAGAGGTGTTGGTGGCAAGAAATGTGTCTTCACATTTTTCATTGGTCTAGTACACTTGTATCTAACATGTTTATTAAAATGAAAGTGCAAAAATCCAAGATATTGTCCTCAATTTTGATTGTTTACTGTATCCAAGATTATTTGTGACCTTACATATAATGAGTCAAAAAAAATAGAACCAAGATGTATTTTTAAAACCAGGAAAATTCTGTTGCCTGCCTTTAACGATATTTATCAAAAACAGCATGTAGTATATGTAAAGTCAAGGACCACAGCTAGAATAAAGGCTCCTCCTCCTCCATCCCTTTCCCACCTGATTTCTGAACCCTACAGACATGCTTCCAATTAAAAACAACTTATGAATTGCATTTCAAGATTCCATTACTTTCTACATTTTACTGTAGGAGCTTTTATTCACAAGCTCCCCCCATATGCACTCTCCACACATGCACTTCTTGCTTTTTGTCCCATCTTCAATAACAAAACCTTCCCCTTTCAGTTGAAGCAATATGTATTTTCATTAACATGACTATGAGAATACTAACCACAGAGTGAAATAGCAATTACATTTTTTTTCTCTCAGTAAATGTAATTTTAAATTTTTTTCTTGGATGCTAAGAACTGTTTCTTTCCTCTTCTCTCGCTTATGTAGCTGTCACTAAATCATCTTTAAAAACTAAAAACAAACCAACAGAACTCTCCATGGCACTTAAAATTGTTTCTTCTTTCTTTGGCCCCTTTTCCTGAGGTGCCTCACTTGCTCCAACTTGGATTGGTAGGTCTCAGCTTGCTGACAGTGGGTATTCTGAGGACGCTACACCATCATCTTGTAAATCTCTTTGACCCTCTCCATTCTGCGGTTTAGGGATTTGTTACCTAGGTTCTGAGTCAGAATCAATCAATCAAACTCTCTCTCTCTCCCCTCCCTAGTCTCCCTTTTTCCCTTCACCCTCTCAAAAATACATTTTTTCATTTTAAGAGATATTTTAGATCTGAAAATGACTTCATTATAATTGCTAGAACTATTTTGGCCTCCTAGTATTAGAAGTCATTGCTCGGTTGGTTTCAGACTCCCATCAGGGAGGTTTGGTGCCATTCCAGTTCCCCACCTGCCCACTTTCTGGAAGCATTTATAATCATCTCTTTATTCCTCATTACCTAACATTTTACAAAGAATGCTGCTACAAGTGTCTGCCTTTTAAGCCATTCCAGAAAAACATAGGTCTCTTAATCTAGAATTCCAGTTTCTTTTGCTCTTGAACTTTAAGACTTTTTCTACTCAATCTCCTAAGAATTTTATATTCCTTATTTTTTTGGTAAAAACACTATTATTTCGAACTCTTCTCTTTTTTTTTTTTTTTTTACCTTTTAACTAATTTTTCATACCTTTTCTGTTTGACTAAGGGATCTTTTCAACTTTGTTTCTACCTCTACTTCAGGTTTTTTGTTTTGTTTTGTTTTTGTTTGTTTGTTTGTTTTAGTTTTTCAGCAGGGTTTCCACTAGTCCCAGCCTGCCTGGAAATCCTGATGTGGAACAGGGTGACCTTGATCTGAGATCTGCCTGCCTCTGCCTCCCAAGTGCTGGGATTAAAGGCACACATGCCAATATGCCCGACACAGTACTTTCATTTTCCTACAGCTTTATTGCTCTCTGGATATAAAAATCTATGGGTTTCTTAATCTTCTGTTTTTTATATTGTTTTTCTTTTTCCTAAGTTGCTTTTTGACATTTTCATTTCTATATTTCACTTGAGGTCTTCCTCAAGTGCCTTATCGTTTATCTCTCATTCTACTTAGAACGCCATAAGCAAAATGACCAGAATGGGCAAATTTATAACAAGAAAACACACTAGTGGTTACCTGAGCTGTGGAATGGAAGAGAAGGGTGGGTAGAGACGACTGATACTAGACAGGGAGGGGTGTGTGTGTGTGTTGTGTGTGTGTGTGTGTGTGTGTGTAATGAAATGTTCTAA